CATCAAGTGGCAGGACAAAGTGTCAAACACAGAAGTCCAACGCGTCAACATGAACGGCATGTACTCCATCCTCCACAGGAGGCGCCTCAGATGGTTTGGCCACGTGAAGAGAATGAACCAAGGCCGCATCCCCATAGATCTCCTGTATTGTGAGCTGAAAAAGAGACTTGAAAGCCTGCAATATCAACACAGACACATGGGTAACATGAGCACAAGATCTCTCAGCTTAGCACATCGCTGTCAAACAAGGCGTTCTTAAAGCCGAGAAGAGGAGGACTGTACACCTCTTTGAATGGAGAGGCAGGAGGAAGGCATTTTTGTTAGCAACCTCAGCAAGCGTCTGTTTTTACATGCGACACCTGCAGCAGGGACTTCTTATTTACGCGTGTCGGATTCTACAGCCACTCGCAAAGATGCCAATAAAATCTAGTGGCACTATCCCATCGTCTTCTGAAGACGGACGGTCTAATGCTGAATAATAATACTATCTGTTTTGGATTTCACTCCCATAGATTTTTCTTTTCTTTTCCTTTCTTTCTTCTTTTCCCGTGTTTAATTTTGTCAGCCGTTTAGTATTTGTGTTTATCATAAATTAAATCTTTATAATGTGCAATTCAAAGCATTCTTTATACTTCGATGTAACAGTACCTCACCAGCGTAAACAATCTCCGGGTGTAGATAATGATTTCAATGAAAAGAAAACTCCTCCAAATCCCAAAGTGCCTGGAAAGTGCTAATCGATTCATAAATCCTCTTAGTTGGTGAAACATATTGTTTCTCATTCAGTTAGTAGCGAAGTAGCGCGACACACGACAAGGTGGCCGATAAAGTTTCTTGGGTATGGCTGGATCCACAGTTTTCCACGTAAATTCATTTTGAGAATTTGCAAATGGTCTTACGATCATAGGAGGAGGTTATCCTGTAGGTAGGAGTGAGATTCATAGGGTGACAGAAAGTTGTAGTGCATAAAACGACGGATTGATTTGCAAATCCTCTTATTTCATGAAATTATCTATTTCACATTTAGTTTAAACCACAGTAGCGCATATCACGGCCTGAAGGCTTGAAATGTTTGTGGACATGACGACTTCAACACGGACAAAGTGTGTAATTCTGCAAACCCCGCTTGAGTGGGGTTCGTGCATATGTATGAGCACTGTTTCCTAGTAACGCGTGACGTATTTTACGTCACGTTCCGCTGGGAGTCTTATGCCCCATTCACACCAAAGCTTAAACATGTTTAAAAGTTGTTTTGTTAAACACAGTTTAATTTTTTTTTCTTCATAGAAACTATTTAACCGAATATTTTTGACTTGAATGTAGCACATTGGAAATGCAAGTTAGCAAGTACTTGAATCCAATGGAAAATCAAGTTTTTCAGTTCTCTGTTTATAATTTTCATTCAATGAAAACCAGTTTAACAAAACATGTTTTGCTGGTGTGAATGGGGTATTAGATGGAAGCTGTGTAGTAAAACCTGTTTGGATGCGGTCTGAGAAACTAGGATAGATCGAGAAATCCGAAGTGAACTACGTCTGGTGTTTCGACTGTGATTTGGAAAGCTTTGTTTGCTAAGTGGATAAAGATAAAGCAGATGTAGTTTAGAAAATGGTTTTGATCTTTGAAAGTCATAAAGATTTCGTCCATGAAAGATTATGCAAACTCACGCCTGAATTTAAAGCGAACCGTAATTTGAGCTTTTTGTTTACATAAGTTTGGGTGATATTTAAAAGAAAAAGTCGGTTTTCTTAAAGCTAAGACATTGTTCACTTAAGGGAAAGGTTTCTTCGCTTTCTTTTTCAAGCAATGTTCGATCGCTGATCTTGTAATGCATAAAACGACGGATTGATTTGCAAATCCTCTAATTTCATTAAATTATTTATTTCACATTTAGTGTGTGCCACAGTAGCGCGTATCACGGCCTGAAGGCTTGAAAAGTTTGTGGATATAGCATGATCCAAAACTCTTAACAAAAATTCTATTTGTGTCTTTACAAGATGTAAGGGGAAAAGTAAAGCAGATTGTCTTGGAAACTTCACCATCCTCTACTGAAGGATAAGTACCATCCAACCAGCCTGAATAACGTGTACCATATCCGAATCGCGCCACATGGTTTGTTGGGGTGTTTGTTCTTTCTGCTCCCATAAAACGATACCATCCCTCAGAAAGTTGGTCGTCACAAAGCTCTAGATAACTGGGTGTTACGTAGCATCTCATTCTATTGGCATCACTTAGGACTTTTTGTATTCATAGCAAGGATCGGCTACAAAGGTAAGTGATAATTATGAAAACAACTTAATCATGACGATCAACGGTTACAGGTCTTTTTTCACACTCGGATGTAGCGCTCAACAATTATGTAATTAATAACACGAAAAACGAGAATTCTATAGGACATGTTTAGTCGTAGAGGCGAATAGCGTGATATGGAAACCGAAGAAAATTAATTTTGTGGAGAGAAGGAAACCTGAATTTGCGTTTCCTATTTCTCTAGAAGCGCTCAATAGAAGAACTTTAGGCCAGTCCAAAGCATAGATAGCATAGCCTACGTAGGACCGACTCATTGCCATTTGAGCAGCTGCGTTTTAGGCCGAGTTTATCTAACATCCGCCTTGAAAAACAAGAAAACAAAATTTACCTTCACAAATAAAACCATCACCGACGAAATTAGGGTTACAAGAGCAGTTGTAGGAGACCTGAGCATTATTAAAAGAGGCATTTGCATGGCATTTGCTCGGTATTTGGTTTGAGCCTCACTGCATTCGTTAATGTCTGAAAGGGAACGTACATACTTATTACGTATGTCTTATACATATTTATAATAAAGTTCGGATATAACGCGCGCTGTCATCGGTTGAAAGAGCGTGCTCTATGAGAGTATAGAGCATAGAACTGAGCTAAAGCTGTCACGCCATCTGCCAAATTGTACCATGTTCGACCTTTTCCGGGACTTCTTTTTAGCTTTTTTCCGATAATTGAAAGTGAAATTTCGGAACAAGCGAGCCGGCAAGTAGTAACAGAAGAACCAAAGAAAGGTTTGTAAACATACCTGGCGCCGTTATTTACGTTATTAAAACGTGGGCAGATATGAAAATCCTCAAAGGAAAAACAAAATAGACATTCCGAGTTTTAAAGTTTTTCACGCTCAGTTAGATTGCAAGCTTACGTACGGTAATGAAAATCAAACACAGCCAACACTCGTATAGTATATAAAGTTCAGAGTTAAAAAACAAAACAGAACAAAACAGAAATGATGAAAAATATAACCAAACTGACATAATTGTTAAAATTCATACTAATCATGACGGTGTCTGAGCAAATATGATCATGCTGAAGTCCATCGCGGTTCACTTATCATGTGGCCCTTCGAGTGAAAAAATAAGAGCTCGCTCTGATATCCTTTCCAATGTGTTGAGTGGAAAGTCACTTCAGTCACTGCAGCCGAGTTTTGCGGCGCTGTCATCCCGAGCAATCTTCATGTTCCGGTGAATTCGGCTGTCGTTCATTTAAAAAACACTCGCCTTGAACAGTTTGTTTTCTACCTTGTCATGTGAAAAAACCCGCTTGTTTTTATGAGCCATAATTCGGCTGAAGTTCACTGAACATTTCACTTCAAGATTCTGAATTAAAAACTTCAGGCAAAAGCGTTAAATTCGACCTGCCGAATTATTTTAGTTTGTAAACTATCGCAGAGTGTGAACTTTGATGGTTTTTGAACTTTGATGGTTTGACAGCTTTTGTCTTGTACAGCCAATCAGATTATTTGAACTATTCTAACAGGGATTCTGATTGGCTTATTGTAGCGTGCTCTATGAGAGTATAGAGCATGTTGACGGCACTGTTCTTCGCTTTGGAAATAAAGTTCGTTTTGAAAATTGAAAGTAATACATGGGGAATTGAACGGATTCTTTATTATAAAACAAATAGAGAAGCCCTGACTGTGCTCTGTTCTGTTATAAAGCACTTAGGAAGCGGCTAGAGCACTCAAGAAGTGGGAAGTGTTTCTCCCTACACTTCTTTCGTGCTCTAGCCGCTTCCCGCGTGCTTTATAACAGAACAGAGCACAGTCAAGGCTTCTCTATTTGTTAAATATATATATATATATATATATTCTATACATATATATATATATATATAACAGAGAATTGATATGTCTTCTTTGATTCTTTCACTTATATATATATATATATATATATATATATATATATATATATATAATCTGTCTGATGATCGCGTTAACAATGTCTTATTTATTTGACCAACTTTCAGATACTCCACGCTCTGCAAACGCATCGGGCACTATACCGCAAGAATAGACTATATTCAAGATATATATATATATATATATATAAGTATACTCATTCACACATTGAACTATTTTTTTATCGCAATAACAATTTTAGAGATGAAATTTTTTCAGATTTTCTGTGTTTCTGAACATTCTTACGTGAATAGCAACCGAAAATCCCAACGTTAACTGTCGTACTGAAATGAGTTGTGGTCTTTCCAATCATATTGAACTAAGATCCCCTTCTCTCTGAGCCGAGTCTAACCAATAACGACCATAACTGATTAAATGGTTTCTTGTTTTCTCAAGTTTTCTGCTCTAAGAGACATAGGTATATTAGATTAATTATTTAAAATTTTGTTATGACTCCAAGTATGGTAGGATTATTAAATATGTATCACTTGCCCTTGAAGGGTTCTTTTCCCAAGCCCTAATGGTTTTTGTAAGTAATGGAACAGTGACGGATTTATTTACTTTATAGCTCTTCTGCTTAAATGGGTGCTACTGTTTTAAAAAGAAAGCATTGAATAATTTTCGTTCGACTTTGTCAATAGATTTGACACTGAAACATTGCGGGTTGTTTTCTTGATGACTCTCTTTCTTTTGGAAAGATTCAGCACAACATACAATGAGACAAATTTACGCCATTTTCACCAACTGAAGGACAGTTGTCATACCAGCATTGAAAATCAGACAAAATCTCGCATATACGTCATTTCAAGTGTTGACTAAGACTTCTACCTATTTCACAACGTTCTCCATTGAATCCGGGAGGACACAAGCATCGATATCCCTTGAGTGTAAATCCAGACTGGCAAGTTGCGTTATTTTGGCAGTAAGAACTCTTGTCACAAGCGTTCTGAAGGAGAAAAAAAATTAAATGACGAAAGAAAGATGGAGGGATAAATACCGAATAATAAATAACTATTGATCGAATAAACGAAAACTTTCATAAACATTCATAATTGTTTTTATATTACTCCGAGGCGATAATTTCAAGAAAAATCGATGTGAAACTCACCTTCGAGCCACGATAAGAAAACTTGGTATCAGTTTTCAAGTCACTGTCATATGTCAGATGCGTGGCGTTATTCAGTTCACAGATGTGAACTGCTTCATTATTGTCAGGATATTTTTTGAAGTTAAGACTGACACAATTGTCGTTCAGGTAGCACAAAAGCTCACAAACATCAAAGTTCTTGACTTTTCTTGTTTCGATAGTATGGTTTACCAAACGTCTTTCAGCAAAGAAGTAGTAGTCTGGAAATACCATTGCGCGCTCTCGCTCTAAAACAGACAAATTGAAATAAAATTATAATATCATGCTTTTCCGTCGCAAAAAAAAAATAGATTTCGTTTTCGTTAGATTTTCATTTTCCTATTGATCACAGCAACAGAGTTTTAAATGTTCTGAATAATATTTGTTTGAAAGAAATTCAGTCAAGGTATCCTTGCAGTGAGATTAATCTCGAAAGAACGCAAAATTGGAAAATTACACGAAGCTTCTGTGCAAAGATTTTGTCAAGGGTCTCCGCAATCATCCTATTTCTTGTTTGGCAAGTTTTGAAGTCTCCACTCGAAAGAGTAATACCTACAAGGATTTTGCGTCAAAGGGTTTTTCAATTCCACAAAAGTGGTTAAAAACTTATGAGACGGGCTACCCTATTTTTATAAACAAATGTTTAAAACCAGAAAACGTGTTCTATTTCAAATGTCAGCATTGTTCTCTTAAAAAATGACTCCGCTTAAGTTGGCTATGAGCCGCAAATTTTTCTTCTATGCAAATTATCGAATTCCTGTCTGCTCAACAACAACGAAATGTTTTTGATAGAATTGATTACCATTCCATGTAAATATGAGCTGAGCTTTAGGATTGAAGTGGTTTTGAATGAAGCAATTCTTCATCCTAGCTGTTCTTAGTTTTTTTGTTGTAACAACTTCAAATTTCCGATATGTTCCATCATAATAACACTCCTTTGTTAAATACTATTAATATCTACAAAACAAGTTTACAAGACTGAGGTTCCTTCCTTAAAAGTCATGTTTGTTGAATTCAGTTTTTTAGTTTTGTCATAACGACACGTTATAAGCTCAGTGCATCAACTGTTATGAATCGGCGAAATAGAAATAAAGAATGATGGGAAATAAGACAACACGGGATGAAGTATGAATATAGGGATAGAAAATGATTCGCATTTTGCAACTCACCTTTACCAAACGTCAAGTAAATCATCGATGAAGTCCAGACTGCGAATATTAGAAACTCTGAAAATTCCATACTTTCTCAAGACAGCGGAGCGCAATATTGATGCTTTAGTATGCCATCATCTCGTGTCAACCACCTGCATTTAATATTGGATTAAGTAATAGAAAGAGACCTATTAGTATTGAAAATAGGATATAAACAAAGATAACAGCAGTCAATCCTGCCCCTGCATATGAAATACGTGGATAAACGTTTTAATGTCTGCGAATGAACACGTTTTAAATGTCTTCCTTTGTGCCAGATAGAAACACTGGTTTTGAGAGGCTACGATTGTGTCGGTTTTCATCTGCAGATTTGAAAAAGTGATTTTGCTATACAAATTTCCATAACATTAATTTCAGTTGCATCATAATTACAGTCAATGGAGTGCGTTGAAAGCAATAACATTACAAACATATTCTTAAGAACATTAAGTGAACATACTCCGATAATGCAGTCTCATAAAAAGCCAAGTTCCCTGAGTTTGTGAGAAACAACACCTTCAAATTTTCAAGATCGATCCCTAGATTCTGTGTTTTTTTTTTTTAATTTTTAATTAAAGCGTCAATAATTGACGAAGAGAAAATTCTCACAAAAATATGGAAATAAAAATAGACTTTATGTACCGACAGTCCCGCTCACGAAATCCAGCGGATAATAGTAGTCGGTGTGTAGGACCAGACAGGTTGGCGTAACCTTATCCGCCAAAAAAGACTTTATTCCTGCATTCGCATTGAGCAAAAAACTTTCTAGTCTGACTCTCCTTCTTACTTGAAATAATACGGGAACGCAATAATTTGAAGTCCTAAGTAATTAGCCATTTTATCTTCCCCGACATACATTAACGTCGGTATGAATTAATGAAGAGTTCGAATAAGCCCTTTAGTTAGAACAAACAATGGATCTTCTGTTAACAGGGGATATTAAACAACAGAAATTCCATAAATTTTCCGAGCAACTTACGACCTATGTCTCGATATATCAGGACAGAATAAAGAGTGTCGAGGCAGAACCCGTCAGACACCTTATAGCAATTGAGCACGACCCATTGTAGACAGCTACTGTACTTAATGCAGAGCATTAAGGAACCGCCAGCACCGACTTTTTATAATTTGACACTTTTCTCTATTTACGGTAATGATGGAGATACAATTTTGAGAATGGGTGTCATTATAAACATAAACAAATGTCGCTGAGAAAAAGTTCAAGAATTAAACACGTTTCGGATGAATTTCGATTATCGTGTTTGTAATTGTTAAGCAGTACCACCCAATTCACTACATCGAGCAAAATATTTTCTCGTCCGGCCCTCTTACTTACTCTAAAGAATACAGGTACAATAATTGAAAGATGGTTTTCCTTTTTGAAGTCCTCAGTAATTTTCTCTTCCCTTGCATTCACTGTCGTCAAAATTAATTAATAATGAGTTCTAAAAGTCTCTTTAGTTTGAACAAACAGAAAATCTCCCGTAAAAGGGGAATCTTAAAAAAATTTGAAATTCCGTAAATTTGCCGAGCAACTTCTCGATAAACTAGGATTGCTTAAACAGTGTCGAGGCAGAACCTATTAGATGCCTCATAATGATTGAGCATATCATTATGGAATATTCTGTCGTTTCCATTTTTACAAGTTTTCACGAGCTTGGAACCGCCAGCACTGACATTTTATAATTTGATACCTTTCTCTTTTTGCGGTAATGATGAAGATAGAATTTCTACAAGGGGTGTTATTATAAACATAAAGAAATATCGCTGAGAAAAGTTCAAGAAGTATACCTGTTGCAGGAAACTAAAAATAATGATAAGGATAATGACCTTGGTTATTTCAAGTGGCCGAAGCTGTTTTCTCGCCAAATGTTTGTGATATCCACATTTGGAATCTCGGTAAATTTCATTTTCGTTTTATTTCAACTACACAGAAATAGTAGTTAAGGGAAGATATCAAATCTTCTCATGAGATGAAAGTCAAACTCAAGTTATCTATGCATTAAATACGATCATTTCTTACCTTCAAAGTTCCAACGTTCTTTGGTGGCCAACCTTAGTGTTATTGAGTCAAACGCATTTTCTTTTGTTACTTTCTGGTAGCTATGGTTACGATAGAAACTGTTGGTTTCAAACCGAGATGATCATTAAGTTTAGAAATGAACTTCCCTCTTACTGTGTGGGCTGTTTGCATAAAAAGCTAAATTGGTAAAAAAATATCGGGCGAAGAATTTAACCTAAAAAACGGATTCACCAGAGTAATGCGTCCAGGACTTTAAAATGTTTATTATTGATTTTTTGAAAGTGTCACCTGTCAGGTCAGGTGCCAAGGGTATTTAATTATAGATTGGTTTTTGAATCTGAGAGAAGAAACGAGAGACTCCGATAAGAATTCAAGTGAGACTCACACTCTACGTACTTCTTAGCTTGATGAATTTTATATAATTGATTACAGTATATATTGAGATTGATAAGACAGAAGTTTTTTTTTCCGTCATTTATAATTGTCTAAAACGTCTTTAGTTTCCTTGTATGAGTCTTTATCTTAAATTCTACCATCAGTTTGTACAATAATACAAGTTGAAATACTTAAACATCTTCTAGACTTGTTTACCTACATTGTTTGCGTGCTTGAAGCGTCTAAAGCGTTAAACAGGTGTTATCAGACTACTGTATATTGCGTGATGTATCATAGTTAGACTAGCACCCTAGACTGAGGCTGTACACTGTGATATGATCATCTGCTCAAACTTTCCTCGATTGATCGACCGGAAACTTTAAAGAAGTTTACAAAATAAAGATCAATTTCTCTCTTAAAAAAAAGAAAATCAGAAAAAAATTTAAACTTTACCGGGATCATGTTTTGCAATAATAACAGAGTATGTTGGGTTATTTTTCCCTTTATCCAATTACTGCATTCAAAGCACCTTTCTTCTTTTCTGCAAAATTTTAGTATACGTAGTTTTCGCTGTGGCAAACAGCACCACCGTACTGGGGCCCATTACCCGGAGCCTCCATACCAATTGTTCCCTAGAGTCAACCCTGTCCTGTATCTTTTATTCAGTTTTTATTTATTTTTTATTTATTATTTTTTTTGGTATCATGTTTAGCTCTAGCAAATTGCAATATTCTAGGCTTTATTTTCCTTTTATCGACGAGGTAACAGAAATTTGCATCAAATCTAAATTCTCTGAAAAATGTAGCAATACAGATCGTAGGGTGGGGGCCAAACTGTACCGCTTAAACCTTACCGCTGTGAACCATAGCATTCTCTAAGTGCGAGAGAGAGTACCCATATTTACATATTTATCAAGGCGGAACTGCGAGCGTGGGCTCGTTTTGGAGTATGTAGTAAAAGGAATTGTTACTTTTGATTTCGTTTTAGGCCATAAAAGCTTAGACATTTATCTCAAATTTTCGCAGCCGAGATTCTTGACTGCAGAACAAAAAAGCAAATTAATAACTGTGGATATATGAAAATCATATATGTGAACTGCGGATTAGGAAAGGATAAAAGGATAAATATGAAAGCAATCTTCGAAGTATTGAACGCTTCTTAAGTAGTAGTGAAAATAAGGTCTACAAAATTTCAGGCCATCCGGGATTTGAACCCATGAGCTGTGCAATACCGAGCTTTTCATATATCCACAGTCATTTACTCATCACTTCACGGTTTGTAATAGTGTAGTTTGATCGTCCGGGTGAGATTAGTCCTGAGAAGGACTGTTGTCGATAGTGGTGCCTGACGTTTCGACAACCTGAGCGGAAGTCATCATCAAAGTCAAATGAAGAGTTGTTGTCAGTCGAATGTTCTAAGTCTGGTTTGTATAAAACTGATCGGTCAGTTTTGCCGTGATGTTATTGGCTGTAAGACTTAAGTGGCGTAGGTCGGTTGTGATTGGTCCGTCTCGATCCGCTTGTAAAGTAAGGTCGTTCTGTTCGGTCCGCTACAGATAGAGGACATTATGGACTTACTGAACGTCAACTTACTTTCATTAAAACGGTAAACACTACAAACAGTTACACGGCACAGCTATGGGTCTC